GTGTGTTTTATGACTGCCAGCTCTGTAACTTCCCCCTTTCAAAAAAACAGAGATGGAGCAACAAGAGCTTCCCCAAGAGAAGTTCATTAAACAAAGCAGGCTGGAGAGCCGTCTGCCCCTGGCACTGCTGGGAGCCCTCAGGGTGTCCCTCTCCTGGCTAGGGCTGCCTGCCACCTGATGAGAGTGGCATCTTTCATGTTGTCTAGGGCAGCAGTCATACCCAATTGCATAATCAAGGTCACTGGAAAATTACACAAAACTTTGCCCAGGTCTATTGGGGGAAAAAAAATAGTAAAGCACTTGCAAAAAAAAAGCCCAAGCACCCAAACTTCTGCTCATGCTGCCAACTTGCTACTCTGTGTGAATGGCATGTACAGTGCCAAGCTGCCACCTTATACTTTCCTGGAAACCTCGATGACAAAATAATATTATCCACATAAAGGCAATTGAAAATTTTCTCTGGTAGCCACATGAAATCAGCTCTGTGGTTTTCCCTGTCTCTCCTTCAGCTACAGTTTCAAGTAGATAACAATGATGTGCAAATACAAGAAGTAATAGTCTCATGCTTTGCATTGCTGAGTGCTGCCCTTCTGAGGATTTTAAGTCTCAGGACAGTAAGTTTGGTTTCACATGCCCTTAGGAGTTATCAAGTCTTTCCAAGGCTACTTTACAGATATAGAAAACAGTCAGCTTGAAAATCTGTATGTGAAAATAAAGAGAAGAAATTTCAGAATTTTTCTTCAGAAAAAAGAATTCTTGGAGAATTTTCTATTATTCCTCTGACATTTTTATACTTCCATTTGTGAGAAAAAGAAAATCACGGAGAAAGTCTTCTTCAAGAAGAAGACTTTGTAGAGTGAAAGAAGCCAGGGCTAGAAAGTGAAGCAAGGAAAAAGTCCTGAAAAATTGAAACATTTTCTTTTTTTCTAAGAAAAAACTGAAAAAGGAGCCTCTGAATGCCTTGCTGGGCAGGTGCTGGGTGGCAGGGAGGGTACAGGTCCAGCCCTGTTTTCCCAGCTGGACTAGCCAGGGCCATGTTTCCTGGTTGCCCCCGAGCATTACTGCCCCCTGCTTATTCAGTGGGGACATCCTCACATCAGGACAGGGCTTTCTGCAACACTCAGTTCTCTCTATGGCTTTATTGGAGAGGGTACCCCATACACTGCTGGTTTTACACCACCAAAATCTACATGCTGCAAAGGTCCAGGTGGTGGTGTGCAAGGCATCAAATTGACGCTTTGAAAATCTCATGCCTTTAACCCCGAATTTACATTTCTGACTAGCTCCTCTTGCAGACAAGTAATTTCTGGGTAATTTGAGTGTCTCTCCTTCCAATTTCTGTCCTGTAAAAGTTCTTCTTCTTAAAGCCTTTCCCAGCTTCCTGGGGGTGGTTTGATAACTGTTGGTATTTCTAGTCATGAGAATATTGTTGGCAGAACTTTTAAGCTTCTCTTTCCATAGACCCTGGTAAACTAATAGTTCGAAATCTCCATTTCTTCATAATTCCTAGAGTTCAGGTGTGCTAGAAACAAAGCCATCTTTCTCCCCAGAGTGGAAGGGCTCTCTCTTTCCATTCTTCACATCATACATGGAAAAATGGGTTGTGTCTGTCTTAACTTTAGAAGCTTGGAAGTTTAATGAACGCTTTTCACCATTTTTATTTGCGAGGAAGCTGTTAATAAACACTTCCATCACTTTCCTAGACAATGTTACGTCACCTAAAAGACAAATTGACCCCTTTAATCACATCCTTATACCAGAGGATTTAAGTGCAGTATAGGAGTTGAAGTGAGGGCATGGTTCATCCTACTGAGTTTGCTTTTTGCTTTTGTTTTGCTTTTTAAATTGACAGGGTGGATATAGATCCTCATGCTCAGGACACTGAAATTAATAGGGTTGTACTGCTTATATAATCTCTGATGGACACTTTGTTGTGTCTTCAGGTTGTTTAAATTGCCATCATCTAATTGCATGCTGTAGAAAAAAAAGATCCATCCGAGAGAGCTCCAAAATGCCTGTGGGCACCTTCCCACAGCTGGCAGGTGAGAAGTCAGGTATTCCACTTGATGTCAGCTACCAGTGCTTCTGTCATCAAAATAGAGTCACTTTCCAGTTTATTAAGGAATAAAACCTCCATTACGATCTAGTAGGTCAGTCTCTCCAAGAACTTACTGTTCCTCACTCAAGAATTTGATCCAAGTTAAAGCTAGGAGTGGAAAGCAGATAGGAGCTAGGATATGGAGATCTTCTTCTCTTTTTATTAAGGGAAACTGCAGCAGGCCCAAGGAAGTGCCTTGCTTAGCATTTGTTTCCTTCAAGGGCTGTTTCTTGTGGTTTAGGTCTTGAAGGCTTTCCTCTGCCCTCATGAGAAGGGGTGGTTTTGGTGGTGGGTAACTGGGAGCTACACAGAGCCAGCCATGCCTCCCTGTTCCCGTTCCAGCCACAGAGTGCCTTTTCGGTGGGAATTTGCAGGAATATGGCAAAAACCCCACCTGGCCCACTGGGGTAGTGGGGCGGCCCTGGGGCCATGGGCAGGGCAGGGGCCTAGAAAGCCAAAAAATTCAGGAACTCTGCTTGTTTGGCTGCTTTGTGTGGAGATATAACAGTACCAGCTGGGATATACCCCTCTCACACATACCTCGAGCATTTACTGTCACCCTCACAACATTTCCTGGATTAGCAGAATGGCTCTTCAGCTATAATTTTTGTTGAAATATCTTGCTTTAGACCTAGAGAGCACCAATGAAGGCCTGAAATCTGTAAATCAGCTGCCCTTTGGAAAACAAATCATTGTGGTGGAATTTTGCCAAGCTGATTTTCTGTGCTCATTCATTTTTAGTTTTCACTTTATGACCTGATTTAAACTGACTATGCTCCAACTGTACCAGTTGCATCCAAGATATGAGCCTGATTTACACTTTGAAAATGCGAACTGCTCCCTGGATGCATTTCCAGGAGGAAGAAATGCTACAAACAGGTTGTTTGGCAGTACCCATAGAGCCCTTAGACCAGAGCTTGCAGGTTGCCTCTGCTTACCTGCTTGAGCTGGTGGGATGTTATTACTGAAGGAAAAGCTGTGATCTTCCCATGAGATACAGTAAAAGTGGTGTCTTCCAGGGAGAAAATTACTTGACAGTTCCAACTATGATTGCCCAGTGGCAAACTAGAAGATTAGAAGATACAGTGGAATAAGAGTCTACAAAGGTAAAGAGGCACCTGGAAGAAAGGGTAACAGAGGAGACATGATGGAGAGGTGACATTAACATCTACAGTCAGTGAAATGGCAGAGGTGGAAAGACAGCATCTATGGCTTGTGAGAAGAATGGGAAGAAAACAATGGAAAATTTGGTAATTATTTAATTGCCCATGTAGAACTCACCTCAATGAAACTGTGTCTTCACCCAGGACATCTGCAGGGCCAGTGTGGGATCATGTGGTTATTATAATGATGTTATATTTTCATGTTAAAAAATACCTCTAATTTCTAAGAACACACAAATTATTTACATATATCACAAAGCTTATTTTTAAAGAAGAGCTTTTCTTCAAAGGGAAAATGAGCTGCCTTGTTATTAATATTGCAGTGTCTTTGTCTGCCAAACTTGGTGAACAAACAATATCACCGTACAGGGAATAGTCTTATGTACAGAAATACGAAATCCAGGACTGATATATGTGCATGGCTGAAAAAAAAAGAAGCTGGGTTTGTAAAATTCTCTGATTTCACATTTGTCCAGTCATAGGATTAAGGAGATTTAAAACAGACGAAAAAATTCACATAAGAACAATTGTTATAGCTTCTATCGGAATGGTATCATTGATATCCTCTTTAAAATGGTTTATATTGCCAAAAGCAGAATGAAGAAGCCTTTGTGTAAAATCGAATTGAGTCATCTGTGCTAAAGTGCTTGGAAGGGCCACTGCTGGAGTTAATGGGACCCTGTGTATTCCAGCTTCAGTGAAATTCCAGGTACATTTCTCCAACGGTGAATAGCAAGAATGGATCCCCTTTGCAAGCTCTTTTATGTGGATAACAGTTAGTAATGGTAATTATCCGACTTGTTAATTTGAGTAATAATCACACTGGCCCATCTCTGATGTTCCTACTAGTACTGCAGTTCCCATTCATGTAGTCAGAAGCAGAGGCGATCACAATCCCCAATTTGGGTATGTCCTTCCTCCAGGTGGATCCCTGGAGAGATTGTTATCTGCATTTCAATGCCTCTTTCCTCCTTGCAGCTGTAAGCATCTCGAGCCACATCTTCCTAGCTTCTTCCTTGCCTTTACTGTTTCCAAGAAGTCATCCTGCTGAGATATCCAGGAACTGAATGTGGTGCCAGGAGTGTTGTGAGTTCCCCAATAAGATGAGGGACTGCATTTTACAAGGGAACGGTTGTGCAAGGACGGGCAAGACAGATGGCTGAACTTGCAGAACGAGTTTCAGCCATAAATGCTCTGAACACCATAAACGTTCCGAGGCTTTTCTTTTTTTCTTTTTGAAAGCTGAAATATATTTGGGAAGTACTTGTTCAAACTACAGACTCAGTCAAATATTAACAAGTGGAAACTGTGGGGGGGAAGATACTTTGAAGCGCTCAAGCATGTGTGGGTTCTTGCTGTATTTGCCTAACTATAATCACTGGGGCCACACTTGCGACAGGCTAAAATGTTGCTGTGAATAGAAAGTATACCATAAGGGTTCTCAAATATGAAAGTGGGGCTGGAACAAAGAGCAGGCACCAGACAGACTTCCCCTGTTAACGATTACTGGCCTGTCGCCCTGGTGCCAGCAGTCTCAGAAATCCCGTCAGGAGCAGGCAGCAGTATCTCGCCCAATGTGATGGCGCTGCTTTGAAACCCTGCCCACAGCCTCGCCGTATTCCTCGCTACTGCCTTATTGTGGGGTAATGAACTTTATCGCTTCGATTTTGAGAGTGTTTGCTTTAAAGATGATTTACCACACTTGACAATTACCAAATTTCCTAAATTCAGCCTGAGGCATTGTTGTTGTTGTGTATCTTGTGCCATGCAAAGCAGTACCTTGGCCGCAGCTTGCAGAAGGTTGCAATCTCTCGGTGTGCAGGAGGTTGCTCTCAACACATGCTGAAGGTCCTCCAATGATGAAAGTCCTTCAGTGCTGCTCCAACCCTCTACAGTCCTGTGGCTTGGCATGTCAGTGGAGACATGAAAATCCTCTGACTGATGGGTGGAAGAAAACAAAGCTGTAACCCAATCTTGCAGAAACGTCAGTACACCATTGGGTTAGAACTCTTCTTGCTGTCTTTGTGTGAAGGACATGAGCTGCAGGGCTGGTGTAGCAGGGACGAACACACAGCTGAAAATCCTCCAGATGGAGCTTTCAAGGTTTTTTTTAATTTCTTTTTTTTCTTTTTAAACCATATTTTGATCCTGTTAATCAAGGACTTATTGTTTCATTTATATTTTGTTGGGAGAACTACCAAAACCTTTATATTAGAATATTTGACAACAATGTCAACAACATTTCCCTGGACTGCTGCTTAATGTGCTTTTATTATTTATTTTCCATGCGTTAATTCTTTTAATATGTTCTTATTAAAGTCTTCCATGTTTCAGTAATATTGTCATTGTGTTTCTTTTGAAGGAGGCAAGTGTGTGTACTGAAAGATTAGATTATCCTGTTTAAAAAAAAAAGAGAGAAAAGGGAAAAATGTCTTCAAAATGAAGTACATCAAAAGTAAAAGTAGGTGACAAATGTTAATATTTGCAAAGTGCTTCTGCTTTGATCCTGCATTTCTATTTTTTTAAGAGTTTGACAAATGTGTCCTGTGGTTTGGCTCAAACCTCTTTGCCTAGTGCTTTACTTGACCCACAATCCATTTGATCTTCCACTTGTTTTTCCTTCTGTCCAGGAGGCCTCTGGACTTGATAAAGGCTAGTTCTTATCTTCCATTTGCTGCTGTTGAGAGGCATCATTTTTTATTTTTGATTGGATTAGGTTATTGTGCCTGTTTGCTTAAACAGATTCTAAAGAGATATTCATTTTGCTGTTATTGTTTGGTATGGTTCCCTTCCCATTTTCATGCCAGTAACAGCTATAGCAGATCAAAATCAGGTTTGGCTGATTGATTCTGGCACTAGATGAGAGGAAGACATGGATGCTGAAGTGGCTGACTTGGATGGCAGGCTGCCACTTCATTTCTATAGTACAATTTCCAGGCATGCTTCATCCAGTACCTGAGCTTACAAGTATTTAGTATATCAGACACTTTCAGGGGCTCTGGGAAGGATTCCCCCATATAAGGATCCTGTCGAGGTCTTTGTTTTTCCCAAAGCTACTGAGCATTGCTTCGGGTTCCCTCACCTGCAACCCAGTAGTTAAAGCTGGAGATTGAAAACTGGCCACAGATAACTAAAATGCAAGTGCTTCTACAGCCCCCAAACACCCATTTTAGTCTACCCACTGTGATTCCAACTGCAGTATTGCCTGTAATGTGTCAGATCTTCCACTTTCACTATGCTGCTTGCACGATCCAACTATTGCCCAGCTCAGTAAGAGCCATCCCATTATGCAACAGCCTGGGCAATCTGGAATATGCTCCTACAAATACTCATGTTGGCCATAAAAGTTGACATTTGACTTTATGGTCTGTTTTATACCATCATCTCCCTTGTCTCCATCGAGAGCCCCTCCTCCCAAGAAACCATAAACCACAATTGAGGGAAACTTTGAGCTGCCATTTCATCCAAGTAGCCATAGGATCCCCTATGGACCACTCCTCCAGCTCCAGGCATGGGAGCACCTCTCCATGTCTCATCCCCAGGAACCTCCCACTGTCTTTAAAGAAATGGAGAATAAAGAATAAACTGGAGTAGATGATGCCCTCTTACGCGTCAGCATCCCCCTGCAATCGAATGTGTCCCCATGATAGTGTTGCTGCAGGACTTTGGGTGCTGACAGTGAGGTCAGTGTTATTTATGCTGCTCCCAGGTTTCAGGACAAGTACATCTGTCAGGGCTTCCATGTGCTGTGCATTTGTTTTCTGGAGACATGTTTAGGGTATCATTTGCATTGCAGATATGTCTACTCTGCATTGCACTCAACTTCTGCCCCCAGAAAAAGGTGAGATCAATTCCTCTACCATTGCAAGAGGCATGTATGTTTTGAGTAAGTGTGAATATGAGGAAAGAAGGGGAGCTCATTTTTAGGAGCAACACTTACAGTGCTTTGGTTAACTGCAGTGGTTAGGCAGGAGGTTATAACAGTTAAAAGAGCTTTGCAGCTATATTTCTTGTCTTTAATGGGATATGACACCTGCCAGCTCTCCATCTGTTTCTTTCTCCCACAGAATACATGCCATCAAGTGAGTGAAGAAGAAAAGGTATGCAGCAGAGCAGATCAGGGTTCAGGTTTTCATGGGTACAACTGTCTGTCAATTAAAAAAAAAAAAGCAAAAAAAACCCACATAAAAAATTCTGAGAATGAGGAAAACTGTGATGATGGCACTCAGAGATTCAGAAAGAGCCTAGCTAGGTAAACACTTCAACATCATAGTGGCCTCCTTTGTATTTGTCTCTCCCTTTCCATTCCCTCATTTTTCATGCAGAGCTATTTCCTTTTGCTCTTACAAGTACATGAATCCTTCTCCTGTCACCTTTGTATCTTCTAACACTTTACCCATAATAAGGCACTCTGACTTCGAGGGGTGGCAGAATACTTTTCTTCTGGTGAGAACTATTTTGTTTTCTTTAAAAAAAATTTTAAAAAAAGGCACCAGGATTTTGCACCTTTCTTATTTCAGGGAATATCTGCAGCCAGATCAGCTATTCCTTTCCAAAACTGTTTTCACAGGCATTTCCTGAAGACAGTCTATCAGATAAAATGCTGACTTTAGCCTTTTCTTTGTCCTCTGCATAGAGTTTTTCAGTTTCTTTCTGGGTTTTACTGAAAGCACTTTTGCCAGCGCATAAGGAGATTCAGTGCCACTGTCAAAGAAGCTGTGTGTGTCTCTGCTGCACAGATGTCTAAACTCACTTTATGAATTATAGTCAAACTAAGTTAAACAACTAATCACAATTAAGGAATTAATTAGATGATTTTTTTTTCTAAAAAGGCAGTCTTTGCAAGGATTCTTCAGCTCGAGGGATGCCTCTGATGGACAAAGGCTGCTGTAATGTCATTTATTTCACCTCTAAGTCTGCAGGAGTCCAAGTGGAAAGTAGAAATAACTAATGCTTGGGGCTGTGCTTGGATCCTCTCCACTGGCTTGCCAGCCTCAGAATGCCAGAAATATTGTCAATCTACCTCTGAAAAGGTCCAGTCAATCTTTAACTATTCAGTTGCTTCTGAGGCTGGAAGTCTGCAGCTTTTCCATAATGGTTATCAGCTGTCCTGTGTCTCTGTGTGGTTATTTTTTACCTCTGGGTCTCCTCTTTCAGTCCAAGCATGGCCCTGCTTGGTGAGGGGTTTCCCAGCATCGTCCCTCAGACAATACCTGACCCACGAGGGGCAATGCCAGCTGTGGCTATCACAGAAGACCCCTGAGGTTGCTTTCATGTGCGGTGGCTCTTCTTGGCACTGCACAACATGGGGAAAGTCTGTCTTTTGCTTTTGTACTTGTAGAAGTGTGAGTGGCTTTTTGCCTTGGCACAAGCAGAGCCAAGAAACCTCCAGGGAGGGTGGAACAGAAAGAAGAAAAGTATGCATAGCAGATTTTAGAATGGAAACTTTTATAAGCTGAGGTAGTTCGACGTTGTTATAACACCTGTCAAGGGTAGGAAATAATACCTTGACCCTTCCCTGGTGCTGCTCAGTCAGGTGCTGATACAGTGATGGATGTTACTTACACAGGGATAAGGGGGAGGAAGGAGGAGGGGCTCATTCTTTCCAGAGAAATAAGTCAGGTAAAAGGGACAGATTTAGCCAGTTTGGAAATGCTGGGCAAGAGCAGGAAAGGATAAACATGTCAGAAATCATGTTAAGAGAAGGCAAATGAATATAGCTTAAAAATAAGTAAGTAAGCAAAGTTAATTTAAAAACCCAGACTTGAACCAAGCTTACATTGAAACTTGGAGTTTGAATGTGCATAGATACCTTACATGAACTATTTTCCATTTTAATGGAAATACTGTGTCTGACCAGAATTAGCTTGCAAGGTGTAGTGCCATTAAATGTTCAAGCAAGATTTGTAGCCTGCCTCAAGATAGGAAATACTGGAAATCACATGAGAACTTGTGATTTTTAGTTTCATTTAGTTCTCTTTGAGAAACACAAGAGATTTGATCTTGATTCAGCAAGACAAGTAGCTGTGTCTGACTTTTAAGAGTGTGAGTAGCTCCTTTATTTTGTGCGACTAATGCAGAGGATCAGTGTTACAAGGTAGAGAGATACGCTGCAAAATTCTTCTTTTATGAGATCTTCTTAAGTATCCAGATGTTTGTGAAACATCCAGAATGAGGTGAATGCCACCATCTTGTCAAGTTTGTCCTCATCTCAAGTTGCCTGGGTTCACCCTTCTGCCCAATAAGATGTCACTAATATAAGTTATGCAAGTAAAACTAGTAATTTTACTTTAATATCAACCTCTCATGAATAGCATGTTATTGCCTTCCTACAATTAATTGGTAACCATTGGTACTATCTGAACCTTGTGCATTATTTGAGGTACCTGCATGTTAGTGTTAATCATTGACTGATCAAGGAAAATCTTAAAAAGGATGGGGAAAGAGATGATCTTCTGCCTGCCCCTTCTGATATTAGAGTTTATCTTTCTGCTTGATGTCAAAAACAGCAGGTTTGCTTTTTGTTGTTCTTTTCTGCAGATGACTGACGTAGGAAGGGTCCATCACCAGCTTGGTCACCTTTTATGCTCTTACCCTTCCTAGAATTTGCCAAAGTGGTGGCATACAGGGCAGGAAGCCTGCTCTTGTTTTCACAGAGTGGAGTCATGGGATGTTATACTTCTCTGAGCCCCAGCCTTCCTCCTTGCTCCCTCATCTTCCCTTTGCTGCCTCCTGTTGCATTTGGAGCCAAGAAGCTCAAATTACCTTAATTTCCCCAGTTTGAGTTGTATCACTTTCCTCTTCCAGCTGACTGCCTCCTCAGAAATAGGCAAGCCAGTTCTGCCAAAGACCAAGTGGTGGAGGCTGTGAGGGTCCTGGGTAATCCGTGTCTTTTATTCAAGGCTTCCATAACTCCCTCAGGAAATGGCCTTTATTTTGATCATTAGTGCAGCCATAGCCAACACCCAATTTGCCATAGATCTTTCTGCTTTGTGCATGAGAGCTCTGGGAGTTTGATATTCCTCCTTGCTTGCCTCTCCCATGATCTTAAACAACAACATAACATTTCAAGAAATAAAATGAGGTTTTTCTTTTTTCCCCAAATAAATGGTCTTCCATGAAATGTATCTGAAAATTTCCAGGAGGCCCTCTTGATTTTAATCCATGACAAACCCTATAGACCCAGTGTTTTTGAGAGCAACTGAGGAGATTCTGTCTGCTTTGCTACTTTCTTGCCTTACCCCACATCCTCCATTTTCCCTCTTGTATTATTACCTTAAACAATGTCTTTTTGGAAAGCATACTCTTTCTAAAGGTGCTTTGTTAAAAAGCAAAACAAAAACACAAAACCAACAGCAAATAACAAACTTCCCCGAAATTCCCACAGAAACAAATAAGACAGCTTTGAAATTGGAAAGCACTGGCGCACGGTGCCACTAAGCCCAGATGTTACAGCCCCGGGAAACCACAGTTGCCCTCCAGTTGTTCTGCTGACCTATTTTTCACCTTCCATTTGATGTTATTCCATTGAGCCCCAAGGTTTCCAGGCTCAAACACCAACATCCACAGAGACCCGCCAATTGGCAACAGAAGACCGGAGTGTGTACAGAAATAATGTTCCCTCTGCTTCCTCTCCATGTCGTGTGTCTGAAAGGGCTCCCAAGGAAGGTGGCTATAATGAGAAAGGTGCATTAGGCACTATATGCTGATAAGTGTGTAGACAAAGGAAAGCTGAGAAAGGCCCCACTGAACTGGAGCAATTGGCATGTACAAGGATGAGGGTTTTTTTCCCAAGACCAGGAGCTGCTTTTCCTTGTCCCTCAGCTCTCATGACCTTTCTGGGAAGAGAAAAAGTAGGTGCCCCATGTACATAGTTCCACATACCCTTAGCTAACCCTCAAACTGTTTTGCAGGCAGAGGACAGCTGGGCTCTCCTGTTCCAGCAAAGACCCTGAAACTACCTCTTTCTCTGCATCTTGACTCTCAGTGGGTGCCATCAAAGTAACAATGCCGTGAGAATGTGTCCTCTTTGCACTGCTCAGTGTTCATGAAGGACAGACAGATGAGGATCAAGGGGGGAAAGAAAAACGTAGTCCTTTCTCATTTCTTTTTAAAACTATACATGACTCTTAATGTTACAGTCTCACCAAGTATTTGGAGACTGTGTTTATTGTCTTATCTTTGGAAGGACCTTAGGCCTACTGGATTTATTATATCATTGTTTCTAGAGGAATTTCTGTATTTTAAACTACCCTCTGGGCCCAGGGCTGTATCAAGTGTTCAGATACTTTAATTGTGTTCTGGTTATTATTAATATGTATTAATTTTTTTTAATGTCCTGCCGCATCTTTGTTGTTGATATCACAGAACTGATTTCTCCTGTCAGCTACTCCTGGGTAAAGCAGCTCATGTGAGTATCTTGCAGCATATACAATTTGTGTGAAGGCAGTTGTATATGACCTTCTTTGCATTGTCCTACCAATGACCCCTCCTGTAATCAGGCAGAAATCATGTTCCTGAAGAGTGGGAGGTATTACTGCTTCTATGCTGGCCTGTTCCTGGGCCCCTGCTGCACAGACATTGTCAACAGTAACAAATTGCTCTGAGTTATGTGCAGCAGTTTAGTGATGTGGACCAGTTATTTATTAGAGAGGGAGCTGAGACATCAGCAAAGGGCCAAAGTGTGAATAAAAGAAAAATTCTCGATCAAATGAAACGAAGCTGCCTCATCTAGCAGGCTTCTTGCAAACCTGATCTCTCTTCTGGATCTCACTTTGTTTATCTAATGGGGGATCACATGCAGAGTTCTGAAAGTAAACTCCTTACAAATAAAGAAATATCCCCAAGGGCTGTGCATAAATGCCACACAGTTGAACTAAATTGTATTTCCAGAGGTGGAAAATCGGTGATTTATTGTTCTGCTAGTCACAGTTTCCTAAGTTCAAACCTGGATGTGACAGTGATTGCCTTGCTCAGAGGCACCTTTCAATTCCAAGATATATGATAAAAACAAGGGACCTCCTCCCATGCACTTGGAAGGACAAGGCAGCTCCAGAAGAGCAAGGGCTTTGTCTGGTAAAAGCCAGGTCAGTGGAGGTCACTGAAGCAACCTTGATTGCCAAGATCAGAAAGCCCTGTGTTTGCTTTGACTTGGAAAGGAAACTTCTAAGTTTAACGCTGTGCATCTGTGATGTGGATATTTCAAAAATGGGAGAAGAGCTCTTTATGGTGACCCTTTAATAGTAGTATTGATGTGCAAAAGTGATGCCAGTAGACAACTGGTCTGCAAACATAACGAAGTTTCACCCTCCCTGATTCGGTTCAGTTTGCCCAGAATAAGTTCCTCGGTCTCTTTCTTCCCTTCAGTGGTCACCCATAATAATGCTCAGTACATTTGCCTGATGCAGAATCCTGAGGGGCTGGAGATGCTCTGGAGAGGACACTGTCAGCTCCTGGAGAGCAAAGGGCTTCACAGGCAGATTGAGATGTGACAGTAATGTGACTCAGACCTGAAAAGATCTGAAACAGAAGAGTGGGTGGGAAGAGGTGTTGATGCAAACTCCAGTGCAAAAAGCAGGCTATGCTGAATAAGTGCCTCTCTTTCCTGAGCCCCTGACTGGGCACCAGAGAGACTTGTGCTTCTGTGATGCACCACAATCAGATGGTTTTCAATTGGATCAGCAACTCTGGCACATGACTCTGGGAACAGAAACCCAAGGAACTGGTGCTGAGCTCTTTGCTTAAGTTATGACTCCAAAATCCCACAGCACACTGGAGAAGTGACTTTCATTAAGATGGACAAATAAAGTAGACTGTCACATTCATAAACAGATGTTGGTCTGTGAATTCCGTTGGGAAAAAAAATCAATGTGACCTTAATAGTGGCTACAAACTGTATTTGGATCTACCTAACAACTGTGGGGATTGTGTCTTCAGCATAAAGGTTTAAAATAAAAAAGGAGACTGGCTTGGTTCAGATTGAATCAGCTCCTCCCCAGCAAAAACACTACCAAGACCCTGGGCATCAGTGAGGCTTTTGGTTATCAGCTTTGGAGGGGCTGAGGGCTGCACCTGCAGGGACTTGTTGCTGAGGCTTCACACCCATACGTTGCTCACCTGTTGGCCACCTGTATGCAAGGCAGGGGCTGTGCGTGCCTTCCATGGAGACAGCCTCTAGCAGACCTCTTACTTGTGAAATTATTCATTCTGTAAAAATAAATTTAAAAAAAATTGCTTTTTTAATTATGAAGTTTTTAAATACTGGATTATCTTTCTTTTTCTCTTTCTCTTCCCCTCCCCCCCTATTATTTTTTTTACTGAGTAGTTTAATAAGTGAACTCTTTCAATTTCCCTCCTTTTGCCTCTCCCTGATGTTTCAACATTTCCTCAGCTTTGGAGGTGCACCAACCAGTTAAAGCAAAAATAGGTGGATCCTGGATATGTTTCACTCACCAGAAAAGAAAAGTCTGGGGAGGAGGGCAGAAAATTTCCAAGTGTTTTACAACTACAGCTCCCAAAATCAGATGAAAAGAAAATCTGGTGAGATCTGAAAACTAGAAATAATGTTAAAAGTCCAACTCACCCCTGAAATAGTACTTCTTTTATTTGGACACTGTGAGCAGCAACGCATAACATGCTTCTCACCACCTTGTGAGCATGTAGTGAAAATTTATGGGAAGCTGCAGCATTTCCAGTCCAATATAATGGACTCTAATGCTTTTTTTATAGACATCAATAACAATGTGTCTAGATCCACCCAAAACCCTAAAGTCAAATAAGCTTTTAGATGGAAAAGAGGAATTTCATTTTTCCTCACTTTCACTGCTGGGACAGACAGCCTCCCTCCTTTTGAGGTAATTTAATTTTCACATTATGCTTTATGGGATATCCTTTATTTACCTAATGTTTTCCTGTCAAGTCTTTTCAGACTATGAATCTTGTATATTTTATATACACAAAGGTGACTTTTCCTTCCTTTAATGACCGCAGCTTATCAGTGCAGGCAACCGATACTGGACTCATAAATATGTCACTCTTGGGTTTGCGGCAGCCCCTTCTCCTTCATAAGACTATTCCTTGCTGCTTGCTCCTCCCTTTAGTTCACTGCATATCCATGGTCTGCTCGTCCCCTTGATGGTGTTGGATTCATCATTGGCTGGTATAAATAAAACACTGATTTAAGCTATAGGTGAAAATCATTGTGAAAGGAGCACACAGAGGAATGTAATACAAGGTCGGTGGAGCCAGCGCCTTCCGACTCCAATTAAATATTTCCTGTAAGTCGGTGCCAATTGTGCATCTTGTAAGAACATTTGAAAGCGGGAGCTTGAACTCTAAGGGACCCTCTCGCCTCAAAACCTGTTTCCTGTTTAACAAGATTTAACAAGTACAACCAAACATGTGCCATCAGCAACAAAAGTCATTGTAAACGGCTCCAGTGTGCAAAGGTGCTGGGTTTCCTCTCGGCCTCAAACGCCTACCGACCCCATCAGGCTGTCACAGAGCGGCTGCACCAGAGTGGCACAGTGTCCTGAGGCCCAGGACTGGCACAGGCTCAGAGTTTTGCTAAGGGAGGGGGAAGGAAAGAGGGAAAAGGCAGCTTTTTTCAAGGCCGTCAAAGCTTCTTGGGTGAAAGCTTCAAGATTTGGTCTTACTCTCCCAGGAGTTTTCTGCAGAGGATGCAACAACATCCACTCTATTCTGTCTGCCTCTTCAGCTTGAAGCACAGCCTTCCTGCTACAAGATGTCTCAAAGACATCATTGTAATCAAAGATGTAATCAGTGTGGTACTTTGAACAGGCTGTAGCTCAGGCTGAGCTCCCTGTCCAGGCAGAAAAGATGCCCAAAGCAGAGATCAGCCAAAGCCAGCCGTTGATTGTACAATCAGATATGGGGAAACTGGTCGTGAGAGCCCCAAAGTTTAGGGGGTCCTCCTGATAGTGAATGCAGTGGGGACACTGAAGACATGTTCACTGTGGCCAGGCACTGAGAACACAGTCCTGCTTCCTAGAGAGCTGTAAGTGATAGGAGATGTCTATATGTGTGTGTGTGTGTGTGAGTATATATATATATATATATATATATATACACACAAACACACTCATGTAAGATAAATACACATGCAAAAAATGTGCATGCTTATATATTTACATACATCTAACTGGTACAAATTTCTCTGCACTATGTATATATCTCCTACCAGAAGCTTTTGTAGCACACTCTCTCTACCTCTCTCCCTAATTCAAAAGGTCTGGTACTTGGGATGAATCTTCTGGTTCTCCTGAGTAACAGCAATAGCAATGACAGGAGCAACAGTCCCATAAGTTTGCTGAAAACCACAGAGGCATTCATACAATGAAAGATACGTGTCTGACCAAATTTTCCAAGTGCATAGCCCACACCTTGCCTCTCATCTGCAATCAGCTACTCTTTCCACCTCTGCCATCCTTACAGTAGCCAACAACCAGGGCAAGGTCTGCAAGCAAAGGGAGGACAGGGATGGAAAAGAGCAGAAGAAACCATGTAAAGTGGAGCCTAATGTGATTGAGACAGCTATGTCCTTAAAACTGCTCACACACTGATAAAAGTATTTCAGCCATGGATGTTAAAATGAGAATAATTTTCTTTAAGGAGGCCATGAAGCTGATATATAAGAGATATTAAAAGTTATTTTCTCGTCAGGGAGGAGGAAAAGCTTGGGAATTTGATGCAGACTCCTCAGCTATCTAAGTGGGCCACCCTTTATTTGATATTATGGGATTTAGTTCAAGTTCAGAGAGGACAGCACTCTTCTGAGAGAAGTCCTCTAGGTCTTCTCCTAGATTGCTTGGGTCATGCTCAGACGGGAGCCAACTCTGCCCTCTCTGTCTCTGCGATGAACAGTGTCAAAACAATGGGCCCATGCTTCAAAGGAAGGTCTCCATAAGGTCCTCACCCCCCAAAGTGGAGATGTGCTGACATCCCTTCATTGTGGCTGAGGAGTGGACCCTCCGGATTGGTCTTTCCTCTACAAGCTACACCACCATGGCTTGAGTCACTTCCCACGTGTCATGTCCCAAGATCAGCCTCTCTAGTGCTGCTTGGAACCCAGGAGCCCTCTCTAATGTGGGATCAAGCAAGAACAAGGCTCAAGCAAGAGTGTTCGAACAGCTGGCCTGGACTTTATTGGAGCAGGTGCCCAAGGACCTATCGATATCCTGCTCACACCACCAGTTGTGCTAAGATGGCAGACGGATGCTGGGCTGTAGGTGGTTGTTTTCACTGCTTTGAGCCTGTCACCAGCCCAGTGCACGCCCTATGTGTGTGGGTGATGACAGATCAGAGAGGCATCTCCCCCATGATGCATGCAAGCAGGCTCTGCAGCCGTGTTTGCTTTCCAGGTTTTATCAACTCAGACATTGCCAACCACCACATCCACCCCACACTGCAGCTTGGGCCACCATTGTGCAGCTCTGAGGAGAGCATCTGAGGATGTCCCTGGGACCACCAGGCTCTGTCACCCTGTCCCAGGCTTGCTGACAAGAAGTCTGTTGCGCTATTTCCTCCACAATCCCACTCCTTCCTAAAAGCTGACAAGTGGGGAAGGCTGGTTGGTGCTGTGACCACTGCAAACCAACAATTCCATCTGGGATAGAGCTGGAGTTTGGCTGAAATGGATATTGTTCCCAATTACTCTCATCTAGACGTAGAATCACTTGCTGACACAAAAAGGGGATGTGAGCCTTCTTTGGTGCCTATGAGGTGTCTAGCTTCATCATCCTAAACTGACTCCAAAATCCCATGTGAAACCAAGACACTGTACGATGATCTGCTGACTTCAGCAAGGCCATCCATGCTGGCTTATCACAGCACAGGGGCAGAAGTGCAATGTTCTGGGATCCTGGGATCTGGCACAACAAGCAGGAGTTTTGGGCACTTCTCCAGGGCAGGAGCCTGCAGGAGGAAGGCAAAACTCCTGCTTGTGAAACCAATGGCTCAGTCATGCAGCTTGGAGGAGATCTCACAAAATGCCCATGTGCAAAGCAGTGGCACAGGGGAAGACTACACATCATCATCATCCTTAAAAGGGCTTTGATTTGCAGTAAATTTGCACCAAAGGACCATAATAGAAGTGCTTCAGGCACCATTAAATCATGACAGCACCTGTAAACTGAAGCTGAGGTGGTTCATTTGGTATTAGATGCTGGGTATAGGAAGGAGGCGAAGGAAGTATCTACCAGCCTGAGGAGCCTGATGCCTCACTAGATAATACACAGACAGTATAAAGAAGAAAGGAAAGCTGTAACATATTTCCCTTGTACAGATGGGAAACTGAGGCATGTTGAGACCCTGTTCTCTGAGAGTGTGACTTGGATTTATATGAGGTCTCTGGAGCACAGCTGGGCATTAAAATCAGAAACTGTGTCTTATGTCTTTACTCAGGAGGAGGAGGGAATGAATTGACTGGCAAACATTTCCAGACAGACGGTGAAGCGGATTAGTACAAAAGAGGATGCAGAGATCTCGGCTGTTCAGCTGCCAGCAGAAAGGAGGGGGAGTATGGTTAGGCAGCTGGTTGAAAAACAGGTGCAGAGAAGGTTTCCTGATATCTGTGCTGTCATCCTGCTTTGAACCCTCAGCTCCCTAGTAAATCTTCCCTCTTGGAACTCTCTCATCAAAGTTTCATTTCCTCACGTTCCTAAAATAGTTCTTGATAAGCAACTTGTCGTGCTGGTAAAGCCCTTTTGGTTACTTTCCTAGAAATCTATTTTCATGTTTTCTCCCTGGGCTTCAGCTGCTTGCATTCCCATTCGGGAAAAAAAAAATGATAAAAAGAAATCCAACCAAGGCTTAACACAACAAGAAGGTGAAATGTTTATGTTTAGTAGCACAGCAGGACCTTGTCTGTCAACTGAATTTCCAAGCAATGCCATAAAACTTGTACCTAACCATAGAGCCAGGGAGAAGAAAATACGAAAATATACTCTTAGCATGTAAAAGATCTGCAGGAAATACAGACTTTTCACTTTCAGTGGCTTCTTGCAGGGCATTTTATCTTCACACTACAGTCAGAGATGGAATAAAGCACAGGTGCTCAAGCTGCTTAAGGCACAAGGGGAGCCCTTGTGCAAGGCAAGTGCTCTTTCCATACTCAGTTCAGAGACACCCTGGGCCTGCACTGGCATAAGGCTCCTGGGCAATCCCAGGTGCTGGGGGAAGCAAAATGG